AGAAGAAAAAAAAGAACTATTATTAAATTAGGGAGAAAATATTTCTATCAGCAGCTTTTGCAAAGGGAAGACTCTGTTCCCTTATTTTATGCACTTGCTTCTTAGAAAGAACATTAGATTTTGCACCAGAAGTGGCTTTTTAGAGCTTCAGTATCAGGAGGCTACACGACCCAGACCTTCAAGCTTAACACCCCCACCCACCCCCAAAACTTGCCATATCACACCAAGTCCAATCAGTGATTGACTTTAGAGCCTGTTAAGATCCCTTCAGCATATATGACAACTCAGGAAAAAAGATCTTGCAGCTGTAGCAGAATCCTGACAGACAACATTGACTCAGGGTGGTACGCTCTGGTTTTATGGACAATTTCTATGCTGCTTATGTCTAATGGCTTGTTTTTTATATATACTGTGGCTTAATTATAAGCCGTCTCAAGCAGGACTGTGAAGAGGGAGCATAGAAATAAATAGCTATTTCTAAATAAATAAGGAAGTGGTGGGGGAATTACTTGTTAGAATCATGATGTTGTTTTATAAGTAAGCAGGGCAGCTTCCACTGACGTCTACACAAAGTTCTGGCCACCCCATTTCAAAACTCTCAGAGCTGGGGGGGAAACACTGGAAGGGCGACTCAGAATGACCAGCCAGAAGTCCCTTCTCTACCAGGAAAAACCAGTACATCTGGAGCATTTTAGGGTGGTAGGAAAAGAGGCGACTGAAGAGGGTCAGCAGGGCAGAAGTTTACAATATAGGGAAGTTGTTTTCCTTCTCATTCCACTAGAACTGAGTTACCCAGAAAAGGTGGCTGGAAAAAGATTCAGAAAGGACAAAAGAACATCTCCACAAAATGTGATTGATGGAATTGACCACTACAAGATGAAGTAATGGCTTTAGGAGAGCCACTGTAGTATAGTGGTTAACGTGATACTAGAATCTGGGAGATCAAGGTGCAAGTCCCCACCATGCCATCGAAGCTCAATGGGTGACTCTGGACTAGTTACACTCCTCTGGGGGGATTATTGCCTAGATAAATTGGAGGAGAGAGTGATGTTTATAAGCTGCTTTGGGGAGAAAAGGGGGGTGTAAATATTTCAATAAAGAGGGCATGGATCTATCAACAGCTATTGGCAACGATGCTGGCTAAGCTTAATCTCCCTAGGCAAAAGCAGCATACCTGAAGATATCAGAAACAGCCAACAGAAAATGCTTCATACGCTTTGTGAGCATCCAAGGGACACCAAGCTGGCCACGGCTGGTAAAAATATGCCGGAGTAAATGAGTGAGAAGCAGACCACCAAGGTCCAGAGCTTACTAACGGAAGTGGGAAGAAGACAAGACATTGTGGGAAGTTGGTGAGCATACTTACAGACATTGTGCAGGTACATGCAAAAGATGAGCCCAAATGCACATCCTGGTATAAGGACAGACAATTGCTCAACTGATGGGAGAATTTAGGGGCACAATAATGGTTGAGGATAGGAGAATTGTACACAACAATGTAAGAGGAAAAAGCCTACCCACGATGACAACAATGAGACCTGCAATCTCAACAGAAAGTAGACACCAAAAAGAAAAACCCTCCACCCCACCCCAAATCCTGCAGCAGCTCCAGGAGATCAGGTGTCGACAGCTGCTTAAACAGCTTCCTGCAGCTGTGCTCAACACCACCCAAAAAACAGCTGCAACTTTAAATATAAATGTAGTGGGCCAGCAAAGCATTCTTCTCAACAGAAAATTCCTCCGGAACAGCTGGGTATTTAAGAAACGAGTATGTGTGAGAGCAAGGGGGAGAGACTGCAAGATTTGCATTCTAGGACTCCTACCCACCCCCCAGATTGATTGGAGCTTGAGGACCACAGAGCAGGCGGAAGCACCTAAGATTGTGCGCACAATTAAGAGGAATGATGAAAATGTGTTCTAGCCTGGCAGGAACGCTTTAACAGGCTAGCTGAAGTTGGTAGGGGAGAAGATCTGCATGCCATTGGAACACCACCAACTTGCTGGGGTTCCTGAAAAGTGCTAGACTAGAGACCTCAGCCTTATCCAGAATAGTTGAGCATTCGTTTCAAGGAAGAGTGCACAGCCGGGATGATTTAACACACATTCCCTTCGGCTCTTTACAAGATCTTCTATAGGTATTCCCATTCAGCAACTTAAATATATCTCCATTGACTATGGGAATTTGGAGGTGGGGGAGTAGACTATACAAGACCAAAATTCATCCACCTTGGATTTACATAGTAAAAGTTATATAATCCCACAAAGCTACACATTTGAACCATTTATCTGGATAACCCCAATTCACCTCTCACCCCTGCAATGACTCCCAGGCCCCTCCTCCCAATCTACAATATGGTGATACTACTACCCCACCTTATAGGACTGCTGTAAGGACACGGATCTGAAGGGCCTTGAACACAGACTTATATAAATACCACTCTGCAGCTAACTTGAATCACAGTTCTTCGATCAAGGAATTTCAAAAGAAAATCCAGCATTAGAGACCAAACTTCTCTAACCTACTACATGCCTTGATGAACACAGCCTTGCTGCTGTGGCTGTGAATTGTCACAGTGAAGACTGACATAGAAATGTCACAGACAGGACTTCTTGTCCTCCATGACCTTCAGGCCCACCATCTTCTCTTGGCCTCCCCTCTCTACACCAACTTGTACGTACACATCTGTTACCACTGTAAGAGAACACATGGAGCTGCCTGATACTCAGTCGCACCACTGGCTTGTTAAAAAGTCAGTATTGTCTACTCCAGGGCTGTCAAACATATGAACCAGCTGATCCAGGGCTCTTATCCAGCCTGCGAGCAACTGGTCATTACCTTTACTGCCAGATGACAGAGGCTGTGCATTATGTCCCTGTATACTGTCCCAGTGCTAATGAGTAATGGGCAGTGGAAGTGGGAGGGTGGGCACCAGGGACATACTTTAAGGAAATACTGTAAGAGTGTTGATGTTTTAAGCATATTTGTATTTTGAATAAAAAATAATAATGCTAATTGGGTTTGGCTATGTCCTTTATAAGAAGAAGAAGAAGAGAAGAAGAAGAGATTGGAGTTATACCCCGCCCTTCACTACCCAAAGGTGTCTCAGAGCGGCTTACAAACTCCTTTCCCTCCCCCTCCCCACAATAGACACCCTGTGAGGTAGGCGGGGCTGAGAGAGCTGACAGAAACTGCTCTTTTTCAAGAACAGCTGTGCCAGAACTATGGCTTGCCCAAGGTCATCCAGCAGGTGCAAGTGGAGGAGTGGGGAACCAAACCCGGTTCTCCCAGATTAGAGTCCGCGCACTTAACCACTACACCAAACTGGCTTTTCTAAATGCCTGTACCTGGCATTACATTTTATGGCCTTCGTGACAAATGCATTCCACACGTTTGGATGCTGACTGACAGGGCCACCCAGATTCTCCGGAAACTGGCTTTTCTAAATGCCTGTACCTGGTATTACATTTTATGGCCCTCATAACAAATGCATTCCACACCTTTGGACGCTGACTGGCAGGGCCCCCCCAGTTTCTCAGACTGAGATATTTCACATCCCCTGCTACCTGATCCTTTAACTCAAGATGCCAGGGATTGAACCTGGGACTGTCTGCATACCAAGCAGAGGCTCTATTGTTGAACCACAGTCTCCCCACAAGACCTCCATTTGTTTTAGCAGTATGACAGCATCCCCCCCCCCCGTTGCTGATGATTACTCTAGCAAGGCCCTCTCAGCCTTTATGTGTTGCCACTTCAGCAAAGCAATCATAGAAGGATAAGACTAATTGAAGGGGGTGGGGGGAGAAAGAGAAAGCTAGTTTGCTGCAGCCTCGAAAGAAGGGAAAGCAGAAGACAATTGCCCAATTTTGATGAACTCTTACAAAGCAGTCTAAAGGCAAGCCGGATGTCCTAATGACAGCGATTGTGACTGGACACGCCTTTGCTATTACAAAAAAAAAAAAGCTGTCAAGTACCTTATTAAGCATGGAGGATAGGAAGCTGTAGTCAGATTTCCCAGATGCCAATTTCTAAAAACAGAAATGCCAGCAGGCTTACTGGTTCTTCGTACATGTGGCTCTTTCCATTCCAAGCAGAGCAGCTCCAGGGGAGGACACGGAATGAGTGTTCCAGGAATATCCCAACACTTGCAAAGTAAGGAAAGCTCCAGCAAGCCCTGCATGGCCCTGTGCTTAGCCTTTCCTAGAGAACAACTCTTTTGCACTTGGATGCTGAATCCTGCAACAGCTTTTACTTCTGAGAATTCACTCTTCCTGACTCTGGAGGAGCCTGTACCCAGGTTATCGCCGTAAAGCAACCCAGTAAAGTTGGACTTTGCAATTTGTAGAAGTTATGCAAGTTGGATCCAGTTGGCATACTGATTCTTGTTTGGGGAGACATTAATGCCCTGGAGGCCCCCTTCCCTTAACTACTGGAAATGTTATTAAGCTACCCTTTCCAGCTTCTGAAATTTCACCCAGCACAACCTGCACACTTTTGAATGTATCTGGGGGTCATAAGGGCTAGAAGCTCCTAAAGGAATAATAGAACACACACGTACACATTCTCGGGATGCTGAATAGTGAGCTCCAATGGACCACACTGTGTGCTTGTTCTCCACCTTGCATATCAAATGTTGCTCTTGTCCCACCTCTGGATGGCAAATCCGTTCTGAGCTTGCAGAGGAAATGCTTCCAGCTTTGGTGGGAGGACTTAAGCTCAGTTCACCTGGAGGCCTTTGAAACTGTTTGCAAGGCACTGAATTCACAACCGGTACTTGGTCTGGGCTTTATTTCCAGAAAGTGGGTCACTCTCTCCATTTTGGAAGCTCTCTGCAGACTGGCTGCCCAGCAGGTTTTGCTGCCCACACACAAAAGACATATACAGAGGTTTCCTGGCAACAGGGAGGCTAGAGGAGGAAGAGCGCATTAATGAGATCTTAAAAAAAAAACCAAACTAATTGCAGTTAAAGGTTTTATTGAACAAAAGAAACAGGGTAGTCTGAATTCTCTGAGCAAAAGCAGCTCTTGGCCTAAGCTGCATTTTGTGCTAAATAACCACATTAACTGAGATTTTATACAGAGGTGTAATGGACAAATTATCTTGCCAACAAGGCGGGGGGCGGGGGGACCAATTTCATGTGAAGGGAAGGATTTGGTCAAAATTTAGTGGCTTAAAATTAAACATTTCTAGCCCTTGTCTACCTAAAACTTGGTGCAGGCATTCAACCAGTTCACATGGCTGAACTGAAATCTCATGTATGAACACCTTAAGCTTCAATAATGACTGAATTGGAGGAGGGGATTAAAAGCTTCACATGTTTATATTTTATTTTATGGCCCAGAAAAAAGAACATGTATTTTTTAAAAAAAACAAATTCCACAAACACACACACCCTGGTTAATAATTTCAGGGTCTGCCTGTTGTATACTTGCTCATGTTTTCCAAACTGCTGGGTTTCTCCTACTTGTCTGCCTTAGGAACTCCACATCCTCTGAACAGCACCCACAGAGTCAATGGGATACACAGATAAGTAAAAAATTCTCTGTTAAAGGGGAGGGCAGCAGAGGCAAGACAGATGCTGGAAATTTGCACTGGTTGATATTGCCTTCCCTTTCAAAGGGGCAGGAAAGAAAAGAAGGCCTGAATCGCCACAACTTAGTAAACACGGGTACCTTGACCTTCGTGTCTCCCTTTCCAGCACCGCTTTCTAGACCTCCCTCACATCCAATACATAACATCAAGGTACCAAATGCAAATATTCCTTTTTGAAAAAACCCACCTTGCTCGCCTCATTTGTTACTCACTTGGCTCCAAGAATACTTTCCTTAGAACGTTCTCTTGTCCGCTCCAGAGACATTCTAGATCAAACAGCAAAAGTAACAAAAATCACTGTTCTGCCTACACCCCCACCCCCAAAACTGTGCTGTCTGCTTCTGGGTAGGCCTCAGAGATACTACTGAAGAAAAAGACAAAAGGAGAACCCCATGATGCAGTGCAACAGTATTGGAACGACGACATTGTGAGTCCAGAGATGTTTCTCAAGGTGCCGAAAGAGGAGATTCTCTAGAAGGTGACCCTGTATTGTCCTCAGGAGGGAACACTGTCAGCGTGCAGGCACGGATGCCCCCGAGGGATTCTGGGAGGTCAAAGACTTTGTGCCACTCATCCTTTTCCGGGTCATACTTCTGAACGATTTCTACCATACAGCGGTTGTTCCATGAATATCCTCCAACCACATAGATTTTATTTTCAAACACAGCCACCCCAACATCACTCTGACCACGAAGCATAGCAGCAATTGGTGTCCACTGGTCTAGAGTTGGTGAGTAATATTCACAGCTTAGAACATCGTCATAATCACTGGTTCCTCTAAAATGGTTTCCACCAATGACATACAGCTTGTCGCCAACAGTACACATGCAGTGAAGGCCCCTGACTGTGGTCATTGGTGCCTTCTGAGTCCATTTGTCCGTATCAGGGTCGAAGCACATGAGTTCCTTCTGGAAAGTATCATGGGTGATGCCTCCTGAAGGGGGAAGAAAGCCAATGAAATACACCCTACACCAAAGGAGTGCTAATGGGAACACACATAAAATCTGACATTATGGTGGGTTTGTCATAGCAAAAGCAACAAGGATGCTACACAACAGTTTTTCATTTTAGCAGCAGCACTTTTGGTGCACATCCACTCTTGAACCTACAGATCACTGTCACCATCATTCTCAAGCAATACTAATTATAGATCTTGCTAGCACTTTATTATTGCAAAATTGTATGGTTTTAGAAGGTTTTATGATTTTATCATTGTTATCTATGTGTTTTATCTTTTATGTAAGCCGCCCTGAGCCTGCTCTGGCGGGGAGGGCAGGGTATTAATTGAACAAGTAAATGAATACATACATTCAGACTTGGAGGTCTCACCAGCAACAAGTATCAGATGGACGGACATACAGCCAACTGAAGAGGATTATCATCTTTACACAGGACTGCATATGTGTGCCTACATTTTGACACTAGGGATGGAGCAAGGCCTCTTCCAACTCTTTCTCCAAAACACAAATATGTATTTACTGGAACTGAAGAAAGATTCCATTCTAATCTGCCACTGCTCAATTGTGCTAGAGCCAGTGGGACACCTGAATGCACCTCCAGCATCTCAAGTGGAGGTCTTTCACATCACCTAGTGCCTGATCCTTCTCACAGGAGATGCTGGGGATTGAACCTGGGACCTTCTGCATGCAAAGCAGGGGCTCTTCTACTGGGCCACAGCCCTCTCCAGCCTCTGCCTCCTATTTCCAGAGCCTTTTTGCCTTCCACATTCCATCTTCTTCAGTGCTTGGAAGCCCACATTGTGTTACTCCAAGACATACTTGTGCTATACAGACTCACAACAGCTAGCATGGTTTCCTGTTGAGGCATCCTGGGAATCAAATTTTTGCAGGGGTGCCCTGCCCAAAATTCTTTTAGCTCACTTCTAGCCCCTGCGATTCCAGAAGTTCCATGGACAGAAGCCATGAACACCACTTCTGACAGTCAAAGAAGACCCTGGAAGCCATGTTTGGGGACTTTTCTTGGCATGTCTTCCCTGTTCATGTACAGAACAGGTGCAGCAAATTTAAAATGTTATCCACATTTTCATCACAGGCTGTCATGGCATAGGAATTATAGTGTGTGAGTTGGGACTGGGAGAAATGGGTTGGAACCCCTGCTCTGTCATGGCGGTTCAACAGGTGATTTTGGGCCTATCGCATTCTCTCAGCCTAATCTATCACACAGGGATGTTCTTGTGAGGATAAAGTGCAGGAGGGGGGAACAACATAAGCTCCTTTGGGTCTCCAGAAGGGAGAAAAGCAGAGTATAAACAAATAAAGCAAGCATCAAGGCACCACACAAACTGAGAGGGCAGGATATGAACCTTCTATGTCTCCCTGTCATTCCTCCCTCCCATCTCCTCATGCATTTTTCCAGCAGTCCACCTCACCTCCAGCATCAGAGCCTGAGGGACATAAGACAGTGAAGGGGTCTGCTCCTCTAACCTGTGCACACACACCCCGACCTTTTAAATGAAACAGCCCTGAGCTCCTCTTAAATCATGGCTGCCACTATCAATATGATCTTCAGCTATGTGATCATGCCCCTTGTAAAAGCCACCTCTCGCTGCTTATCACATTCTTCCAAGATTTCAGGAAACAGACTTTCCCCTGCACTCTATCCAAGATCCTTTGACACCTCCAGTTCAAAGGACTGAACCTAGGATCTTCTGTATGGGGGGGGGGGAGTGTTCCACCTCTGAGCTGTAGCCACTCCCCGCTTTTGGATATTCGAGGCAGCACGCACACAAGTTACTATGTGAAGGAGGCATCTCTCTCTCATGGAAACTCTGATGCAAGCCGAGGCGTTTAGAACAAGCACGCACTTGGGCACGGTGCCCTACACATTCCGCTCTGAGATAGGCACAGTCAGAGTACGGATGAGTGGGGAGGACCATTTGGTGCCCTGGCATCCAGCCCTCCCTGGAGAGAGAGAGAGAGAGAGCAATTGTTCGGGGACTTGACAGCTTATTCTCTCAGTGTAACTGTTGCTCCCAACTGAAAGAGATATTAAGGCACAGCTTGTTGACGTGAATCAAACAAAAAAACGGAACCGAGCCTGAAGTCTGATATCTTTCCCTTTTTGAGGATGCCTTTGAAAGACGCCACGATTTATACTCTCTGGTTAGACTTCAAAGGTCTCACATTCTGTCCCAAAGACACAGCGTTTATCATAGCATTCGCTGGGTTTTCTAAGCCTCCCTGAAGTACGACTTATCCCCGTCAAAAACAAGTCTCTCTCTCTCTCTTTTACAACAGACACACACGTAGGATTAGAAGCAGCATGGAGGCTGGATCTGCGATTTCCTAAGAAACAAACCTCCAAAGATTTAAAAGAAACACACAAATTACTTCTTAAGACGGTTGTTTCCAAAGGCAATTTCCTACCAGCCGGGATAATTGTATCTAAAATGAGTGCTGGGGATCTAGCAGCATGTCCCATTTGAGTGGTTTTGTGTGAAGTGAGAACTGCAGCTTGCCAAATGCCAAGAGGCACGCCTTAGAAAGGAGGAGACGGGGATGGGCCTTTAGGCCACGGGCGTTAGAGCCCACTGCAGCATGCTTGACCCAAATGGGGGAAGAGGACAGAGATTTCCTCAGAAATAAGAATGCTTACCTGAAATATACATCAGGCCCCCATAGACGGTCCCCGCATGGCCATAGTGGGGCTCATTCATTTTGGCCACGTAGCTCCATTCGTTCATCCTTGGATTGTAGCACTCCACTGTGGCTGTTTAGAGAGAGAGAAAAGGAAGGCTCTTTTTGAAAAAAAAAATTATTCTCCTTGTTACAGTCTACCTGCCCACCACACACAACATTATTCAAGCCACAGACTACAAGAAGAAGCAAGGACAAGCGAGCTTTGTGATGTTCTGAGTGTGCAGAGGGCTTCACATAGATTTGGTCTCTGTGTCCAGAGCTAGACAGCTAGTTATACAAGGGCTGGGTTATCTTCCTCTGTTTTCCGTCTTTGGCAGGCCCACCCCTCTGGCTCAGGAGCACCCTTGATGTGCTGACGGCTGGAAGGCCTTTCCCCTTACGGGCAGGCCAAAGCAGGTCTTGGGGTTTCACTCATGCAATCATTTCAACATCCAGGATTTAAGGGAGCCATTTAAAAAACTTCTAGGGTCTCCAGCAGATGCCTTCACAGGCAGCCACGGTTCCCCTCAGCAAAGAAGTGCCTTCTCTCACAGCCTTCAAAGCATTTTTCCTTACTGCTAACTGGTGCACCCACCAGATTCTCCCCCCCCCCCAATCGCACGAGTGAACATGCCAAAAATCTTCCCTTTACGATTGGTTTCCGACTAATGAAAGAGCATGCGTGCACGTACATAAAGACTGAATGAACGGTGCCCAAGGCAACCCAGCCTATGTCCTTTTGCAGCTCCCACATATCTGCATCTACTTGCTAGAACACAAAGACTAAAAGTTACACAAGTAAACCAACCTCCCTCTATAGACATCATTAGCTGGACTAGGACACTGAGTTGCATAGCACAATGCTCTTTGAAAGCTGGACTTCATAGACGAAACCATGAAAGAGGCTGCTGTACTGTTTTAGATGCTGCTCTGTGGAACCAAGGAGTGAGCCCTCGCACTCGAAAACTAGCATACTAGATTAGATCTCTTCTCCGATACACTGACATTCTCAGAGAAAGGAGGGCCTGTTTGCTTTAAAAGAAATAGAATGGGCAAACATGAAATCCCCAGCTTACAGTTGGTACAGGGGCTGCGCTCTGCAGTTCACTTGAAACCCTTAAAGAGCAGCTTTTACTTCAAACTACACAAAAAAGAAGCACCTGTCTAAATCACAGAACTATGTTACCATCAACCACACAAAGTTAATGGTTGCCCTGTCTGCCAAGGACATTTCTCTGCCTGCTTTGATCACCTCGTCTGCCATCATTTCCATTCCACCGTGACTGCTCGCAAAGCATGATCCCCGGTCCTGCTTGCCAAACTGATATTGACGGAGGTACAGGAAGCACGGCATGAATCTCACATGTGCACTGGTCCAAGTTTGCGTTAAGGCGAAAAAGGGCCCTAAAGTTCAAATCCTGCTAGCAAAGTTTCAAGGGAATGTGGGCTACCACAGCCTGGGCTTCTGGCAGTTTATAAGGAGAATGCTGCCTATTCTCCTAAGGAACAAGTGACCACACTTGCAGCCTCCAACTGTACAATAACTTGCATGCGAGCAGCGGCCACCCTCAGCCAAGCAGTACATCCAAGCAGAGCCTTTGTACTTCACATCACCTCTGCAGAAGGCGGCGAGAGTTCACACACTGGGCAGCTTGGTGGAAATCATCAAGTGACGACCCTTCCAGTGATGAGCACGCCAAGTGTGAGTCAGCCCAGACAAGGCCACAAGGTCTCTCTCCCCCCAGCATAAAACAGCCTCAGCAGTCAAAGCAGACGAAGAGGGAACCTCCGGGGCCAAACCCCAGCAAAGTGACCAAACATTCCCTCACAACCCATTCGCTTGACAGGGGAACAAAGGCCAAGGGAAAGGACCCAGGACTCACTGAACACCCCAGGGAAGTTTTCGTGCCCTTCTCCCACGGAAGTCTTCATTTCAGTAGAAAACGTAGTTTCTTTTTTAAGAAAAGACAGCCAAAGCAATGGAAGTTCTCTAACTACAAGGAAGCGTAAGACAGATTCTCCACTCTTAACTGTTTACAATTCCACCACTTAAAATAAAGGGCTCTTCCACGCCTCCTTCCTGGCTCCCACCTTCAACAGAGATCAATTCCTGGGGCACACTGAGAAGCTAAGCGTGTCCTTCCAGTTTTAACACACAAACCATCCCACTGCCCTCCCTCTGCCAGAGGTGCAAATGGCTGTTTTCAGAAGGAGATGCAAGTGGCTCATTTTATACCTGCATTAGCATGGCTTGGGCCCTTCCACACACAAAAGGCATTGCAGGATTCTCTCCCTATATGCCTTACCTCTGGGGCCACTGCCAGAGGGGGGATATACTTCATCCGCCCTGCTCTGCTACAGATAGGTCACCCTGCCAGTACCCTCCCAGGGCTGGCTCCTCCCCTCCACCCTGTGTGGTGTACTGGTTAAGAGCACGGACTCTAACCTGGGAGAACCGGGTTTGAGTCCCCCCTCCTCCACATGCAGCTGCTGATGTGACCTTGGGTCAGTCATAAGTTCTCTCAGAGCTGTTCTCTCAAGGGCAGTTTTTGAAAGAGCTCTCTCAGCCCCACCTACTTTACAGGGTTCCTGTTGTGGGGAGGGGAAGGGAAAGGAGACTGTAGGCTGCTTTAAGACTCCTGAGGGTAGCGAAGGGCGGGGTATAAATCCAATATAAAAGCAATCTCTTCTTCTTTCACCCTACCAGGAAGTGTCCAGGGAGCCCTGTCTTGGCTGCAGCTGCCTCCTGCACTGCTCGCCGCCCCAGGCAAAGCTTGATGACATGACAGGCTCTACCCGGCTGCGACAATCAATTATTTCACCCAGAGTCCACAGCCCCTGCCCGTTTTGGGCCCATCCTGGTCAAGCCCGCACAGCTGCTGGCTGCATACAGCTTGCCTCGGCCGAGGTTATTTATGTCTGTAAGCCCGGGGTGGATCCTGTTGCCACATAATACTCTATCAGGCCTTCAGTGGCTGCATTCACCTGAGCTTTATTCGGGTTATGCCATCAGTCCACTTTCTGGATAACCAAGGAACACTTTTGCAAAGCCATGGAACTCTGTAGGCCCATCTTCCTTGAGGCCAGCGAAAAAGCTTCAGAGCCTTATTTGCAATCCATTGCCTACAGCCAGTCTGTGCGATACACCTCTCCCATCCCAGAACAGGATGGAACCCTTGAAGGATTTTCTGTAAGCATTCCTAGAGCTACAGACTTTCCCCAGAGAACTGAAAGAACCAGCTGATGAGTCCAAACGGATCGAGAACTATTCTCACTTGCTATCCATTACATTTTTATGGCACCCCTCTTCTAGAGATTCTTCCCTCAGTTACCCCAGTGAGACAGGCCAGGCTGAGAGAGAGCGGCCCGAGATCAGCCAGTGAGCTTCATGGCTGAGTGAGGATTTGAAACAGGGTTTCCTGATCTTTGTCAGACACTCTAGCTGCTTCACTGTACTGGGCTCTATGATCCCTCTAAGATACCAGCGCAGCAGGAAGCATAACCAAACACCCCTTGTGAGCACCTATGGGCCTCTGCAGAAACCTCTAGCATATTAAAGATTGACAACCAGTCCTGGAGAGAGCAAATCTTTCACGCAGGCTTGGGAAGAAGGCTGGTCCTTCAAAACTTGAAATAAAGAGCATTGCACCAGCAAAGAGGAACCAGACTGAGGGCCAAGCCTGATGCATGCTCTCCCAGAGCTACCCAGATGTCAACAGCCACACCATCCAGAGCTCGTGCACCTGCACATCCAGCAGCATTATGTTTCCTATCACCTACCAACAGCACCCTTTGGAAGTTGACATAGGTCAATCAGGCTTATCTTTTCAGTAAGAAAATGAATGGGCAGTAAAAATGGCAACCCGGAGTGACTAGCCAACGAACACTCCCAAGCTCCCCTTAGGTTCCCCCTCCTTAAGCAAAGAGGGCAGAAAGATGGTGAAGCCAAAGCAGAGTGAACATATCACTACATTTTCTCTTGGTTGGAACAGGCTGCTAATGCAACGCACCATTAATTCATCATGACCACTAATTATTGCATACCTCCTGTTATCCTGATCAAGCACCCTGAGAGATGTGGAAGTGACGATGGGTCTGACCTTGTAAAGAGAGCAGCTGCTCTGTCTTGTGTTCTCTCGATGTGTTTTTTTAATCTTTTAAGCTCACCTTGCAATACAAGATTTCCCTCCCCACCAAGTGTGTGCTCATGCACAGATCACCCAGCTGCTTCATGCTCTTGTGTGTACAAACATTTACTCCACAACATATTAGTCAGTCTTTAAGGAGCCAGAAGACTCTTGCTTTCAGCTCATATACTCTGCAGGCTGGAGGAGTGAATGCTGACACTGACACTCTGTGTCCCCCCCCCTCCCTTTAAGGAAAAAACTGCATAGATATTGTCATCAGGTGACATATCCACCTTGCGCATTGAGCTGTGCGCACACGGGAGAAGAGGGATGCGGGCTTGCTCCTCAGCCATGGAAAAGGGCAAATCAATGGCCTTATGAGCTTGGGCATTCACTTCTGCAACAGGCGAGTGCAGCCATGTCTCAGTAAGCCTGGGGCTTCTCAGAGAAGAGCTCCACATGTGCACCTTGCTGCTCCCCATTATGCAGGGCCAGGTACTTCAGCATAAGAGAAATGACTTTCTAATGCCACCTGAGCTGACCAAGGCAGTGAGATGGAGCCCAACCACTAGGCTCAAGAGGAGATACCAGAGGAGAGTGTCTCAGAAGCCATGCCTGCCCCCCACATTTGAGACATGGCTCCACACAAGTGAAAATCTTAAGAGGACTGCATGAATGCTTTGCAGCTTAGAAGACTCATGTGAAGCTGTTCTACGATAGAATACAATAGAAGAATACCCTCAAGTCAACACTGATCAACAGCCCGTTAGCATTCACTAATGGAAGACCAGGAAAGCAAATTTCAGGCAGGTTTCTGTAATTGCCCCTAGCGAGGTGAGGACAGACTCACAAGTATGGCTTGCTAAGTGCGTCTCTCCTTTTTGCAGTGAAAAAGGGATATCCGGTCCACTCATCTCCTAGCACCAAATGAAATGAAGATTCACAGACTCCCCCGTTCTCCTAACCCTTTCTGTAATGGTAGTAACAGCAGACTACATTAATTCTTTATCCTTTTGCTGCAAATATTTATGAAGGTTGCAATGAAAGTGAAAAATGGCTCACAGTGCAATTAATGAAAAGGAAATGCGAATATTTCAGACTCAAGATCAAAAGCGCAGACAGCCAGATACTGATTTTCATACAAATGGATCTCGCTGCTTATGCAAATCAATTCAACTTGTGAAACAGCCCAGAAAACATCCAAGATTTAAAACAAGAACAGGAAGATGCTGAACTTTTCAAGCCAAAATAAATTACATGAGGTCACCATTCCCCAGGACTGGATGCTCATATGCTATCCTATAGACATCGTCAATATGTGTGCGTTTGGCACTGAAGAGGTAGAGGCAAAGCAAGTAGCATCAAGAATCAGAGAGCCCACAATATGAGCATGAAGAGACTCTGCAGAAAGCGCAGAATTAGCAGGCAGAGCCTCATAGCCTCTCACTTTGCATTTTACTCCAGCAAAAGCACTCAGTTTGGTCACTCTGGGATGAGGCCATTCGAGTCTCCACTGTCCAATTCTTCAGGTGCTGGGCAAAAAACGTGTCAAAAGGAAACTAGGTTAGGTATGTCTGCCTGTAAAAGAACACTAATTTGAGCCAGTGTGGTGTAGTGGTTAAGAGCGGTGGACTCCAATCTGAAGAACCGGGTTTGATTCCCCACTCCTTTTCCACATGAAGCCTGCTGGGTGACCTTGGGTCAGTCACAATCCTCTCGAAACTCTCTCAGCCCCACCTACCTCACAAGGTGACTATTGTGCGGAGAGGAAGGGAAGGAGATTGTAAGCAGCTTTAAGACTCCTTAGCATACAAACATGAACACACATGAAGTTGCCTTATAATGAATCAGACCCTCAGTCCATCAAGGTCACTGGCCGCAGCTCTTCAGGGTCTCAGGCAGAGGTCTTTCGCATCACCTACTGCCTGGTCCTTTTAATTGGAGGTGCTGGGGATTGAACCTGGGACCTTCTGCATGCCAGGCAGATGCTCTACCACTGAGCCACAGCCCTTTGGTAGAGAAAAGCAGGGTATAAAAACTAACTCTTCTTGCCCTGACCTGGATAGCCCAAGCAAGCCTGATCTCGTCGGATCTCAGAAGCAAAGCAGGGTCGACTCTGGCAAGTACTTGGATGAGAGACCTCCTTGAGATACCAGAGGTGGGAGGTGGGGGCAGGCTTTATTCAGCCCCCCCCCAATATCCTCCGAGCCCCTAGTAGGAGTCAATCACCAGAGGTTGCCATGACTTCCAGGTGCCGCGCGCATGCGCACACATATTTTAAAAAACCCTTAACTTTTCTTCTTGTACTACTTATTTGTTATCAGACAAGGTAGGAGTTTTCAGCCCCAGGCACTCACCTAACTCGCCGGCCGCATTCCGGCCACCGACTGCATACAGATGTCCTTTGAGGGCACTTAGGTGGAAGAAGGTTCGCTTTTCATTTAAAGAAGCCACTTGCATCCACTTATTATAGCGAGGATCAAACCTAAACACAGTGTCAACCGCCGTCTTGCCTTTTGTGTCATAATTGCTCTGACCGCCAACAACATAAAGGAAGTTCCCAATCACAGCAATGCCATGCTGGTACCGGGGTGCATCCATGGGCGCCAGAGACCGCCACTCGTGCGCTTTCTCATCATACATTCGCAGCTCCTTGCTGACCACCAGCTGCTGCCGTAGCACTCCGCCCAGCGTGACCAGGTGGGTGCTGTCCGAGCGGATGGCCGTCCTTTCCGACTGCATAACGGGCTGCATGTAGGGCATCATTTGGTAGTTGCTGGCTTCCAGGAGCAAGTTCACACATGTGTTGTCAGTCCTCATGAAATCCACCGTCTGAACGTAGTTGATAAGATCCTGCGGGGTCATCAGAGGGAACCGGATGTTCTTCATGAGCTTTGCTGCATATTCCATCCGCGTCTCCTCGGACCGCAGCCAGCGACAGGCAGCCTTGAAGAGTTCCAGCTCAGTGCAGTGCTTAAGGCTATTGCTCGAAAGGACAAAGGCAAGGCGCTCAAAGGGGAGTTTCACAAACTCGCCAGTACTTAACAACGCAGGAAAGTTCTTGAGGATGTAATTGTTCACGTATTTATCCACTTCGGTGAGGTTGTACGTATTGGCAATCCGCCCCACTTCAACACAGTTTTCCAAGGAAACCTGTTGGAGGGGAAGAAAACAGGAATCAAACCATTTGAATTTCTAGCTCCGTGTTCTTTCAGGCACATTCAAGGTAACCCAAGGAATGCATGCAATGGCTTGGGGAATTCCCTCAGATTGAATTTCTGCATCAGACTGTGAATTTTCCTAATTCCCAACTGACAGAGTTTTTGTGCAAAAGGCTAACAAAAATGGCTTCTAACTTAATGAAATACTCAAAATAGCACACCCTTAAGAGTTTAGAACTAATGACACGGCTTCCCATTCCAGCCAACTGAAGCCCTCGATTTCCAAACAGTTTGCTTAAAGTTAAGCCCCATAAATCTCAATGTCCACTGGACTTCCATCAGAGGGACGGCAAAAGCAGATAAGCAGCCTTCCATTATGCCTGGATCTGGACCTGGCTGACAGCCCTCCCCCTGATGAACGTTTGAGTTTAATGTCATTTGTGCCACTCCGTTTTCTGCTCTTGTGATCCACTTACGGAGCCAATTCTGGCTGGACAGTGGCACAAAAAGTAATCAAAATAAAGTTTCCACAGGATTTCTTTCCTACAAACAGTTTAGGACTTGATTCTCCGGTATTCCAACCGGGCATATGATGAAAGCATCAGAACAAGCTCTCAGGCAGCCCTATGTGACTACTATCAAATCATCTGGCTACATTTTGTAGCAGGATATAAACCTGCCTTTGACTGCTGGGTTGCTATTTTTTAAAATCTGAAAATTAGGTTTTAAGATAGTAACAAGAAAATCAGATCCACAGCAGGAAGCCTTAACAAGAACTCCTAATAAGACATTTGAACACTGGACAAATTACAGTTTAAGATTACTATGTCAGAAACGGCCGAATTTCATTTGCAGAATTTAATGAAGATGCAGAGGGAGGCTTTGGACAACCCCACTTGGTCTCAGTGGCTTCCTTGAACATAACCAAGAGAATAAGAGAGACCAACTACACAGGGATGTTTTGAGGATAAATGAATTAAAAAAGCAACACCTTGCCTGAAAAACAAACAACCAAACCGTCATTTTTTCTAACGTGGGCCAAAGGATCAATACCAATATTGGATCAGTATTCGGTTCCTCAGGTGATTTTACCTATACAGCAGATGGCTCCAGACTGTTGCTTGACCTAACCGCAAAGTGCTGCCAATGCAGTGATTCAAAGCACTTAAACAGCAGGAGTCCATCCCTCCAAGTTGTATGGAGGACCACCTGTATTCACTTAAGAGGACCAAATCACTATGCAAAACCCCACCCCAACCCTCAAAGGGGTCCCATGTTCCATCAACCCACCTCTGTGCCTCCTGGTACATTCTGCTCATGTGTACCACCACAGACCTCTGCTCTGCCAGCTCTCTTTTCATTCCACAACGAGCTCTTCCCCCTACAGGCCTCTCTGCACCTCACCCTTCAGCTGCCCCCATTCCTTCTCTTTATCACCACAGGCAATTCCATCTCAATCCACCCTCCCATGTCCCCTCATGCATCTCTTCCCCCCGCGTCCATTCACTTCTGTACCCCCACCACACCTTTTCTTCCTCGTGAACACTTATCAGCAATGAATCTCCAACGCTAAGGCTTGTTACTCCACCAACAACCCTTTTTCCTTCAGACTTTCTGGCTTCATTTCTGTCCACTCACATACCCAAACCTTTCCTTCTCTGTTCCTGCCTGGCAACAGCACTCAAGGTTTTCACTCTCCCAGCAAGTCCCACAAGGAGGGAGCCGTGAACCTGGAAAGGCCGTTCAGCATGGCTGACTAGCTGTAACATGCTGGGGAAAGTGGCACACACTTGCCCTCATCTGGATAGCCCAGGCAAGCCCAATCCCGTCAGATCTCAGAAGCTAAGCAGGGTTGACTCTGACAAGTGACTTGGATGGGAGACCTTGAAATACCAGAGGCCGGAGCAGGCTTTATTCAGCCACCTCTCTGAATATCCTGCAGGCCCCCAGTAGGGGTCAGTCATCAGAGGTCCCCACGACTTCAAGGTGCACATACAGTCACCAGAGGTCTCCATGACTTCCAGGTACACACACAGAAACACAAAAGTACAAAAGTGGCACAAACTCCATTATGTGGAGGGATTGTTGGGGGCTGCCTGTGTTCCTATAAGGAGGTAGTGATGAGCTGCCCATGATGGGGATTGTTCAAAAAGCTACATATAGGCAGGAAGGAGACTGCATCCATCCTAGTGGCTTCATGTTGCACTGGCTCTTCTTTTTAAAAAACCCAAAAAAACAAGTTGGAGAACTTTAATATCTTTTTCTTGAGAAGTGGCCAGAATTTCTTTTGTTTGCATAGCTTAGTAGCAGAGGAAGGCAGCAGGAGTGTCAGATACAGCTATTGCAGTTAAAAGAAAATGCCTGAGATAGGAGTAGCTGATGACAGCAGACCCAAATAACCTAGCAGAAGCCAGAAAATTGTGAGAAATAAATTGGAGTGGCAGTAACAGAAATGAAAAAGGAGAGGATTTAGGAGATGCCAGCAGTTAATGGGTTTGCAAGCGTAACCGACACACAGATAATCCTATATCCTCATTGCTAAAGCCAGGGATAAAGTATGTGGATCTCTCCTTGCCTCTTGGCTGTCCTCTGGCCCCCAGTGTCCAGACATCCAGAATTTCAACATTGTTTTCCTTATCTGAGATTCCAGACCAGTTCCAGATTTGCAGTTCTGCTCACTCTGTAAGGTACTGTCTGACCTCTAACAGGAAATTGGGAGGGACTTAAAAACAAAGGCTCCAGGATTACGCAGCTCAAACAGAAAATGGAGACTTTCACACAGAACCTTCAGCATGCAAAATGCTTCACAATCTGCTTTTTCTTACCCTGCCTTGAGACAGCCTCAGATTATTCCCCCCTCCCCTGGATCTTAATGCGGGTCTTAAAATCCATATCAATGACATTGTAATGGTTGCATGCAAGCCAATGTCATGTCAGTATCTCCTTTAGCCCTAGCCCAGGTTTGAGAGCAAAGCACGCACAAGCAATGTGCAAAATGGCATGGACATCTCTGGCCTTTTAAGCACAACACAGTTAAAAGGTAATGAGGATTCTAAGCCCTTCTGCACTGACCAAAACACACAAATAAATCAGAGATAATGGCCCTTATATAACCATGAGATGCTCTTGCCCAAACCAGAGTGCAAACAAAACCTATGCAGAATCTCTGAATGCAAAAGAGCCCAGTTGTTACATAAAGACCCTTGAAACTCCTGTGACAGCAAAAGGCAAACAGTTCTCAGTCAGGACCTTCAGAACTTTCTCACGTTTCAGAAGCCTTGCAATGTGCCTTGAACACCAAACTTGCATGGAAACACACACCAAACAAAATCTGACCATGTACCGTTGTCCGCACATTCCAGACATAGGGAAACTTCACACTTTATATGTTTGGAAAAGCCAAGTTCACCACCATGCACACATACTACAGTGAATATTTAACATATTCACAAGCATATCCACTTGATACACTGGTGTTATATATGCGACTTACATTTTTAGGTGGACATTTAACAAAGGCTAAGTATACTCCTGATTATGAGTTGTATAAAGAAGCCATCATTGTTTCCTCTAAAGGCATTAAAAGGAAATAAATATGTGCCTTAGTAATGCAGCTTTCCTTGGGCTTTATTGGGGGGGGGGGAGACATCCCAGGAGGTATCAAGATTAACAACTTATTTGCAGAAGCTGTTGTGTAGGCAAGACTGAATGGAAGTCCACCTACAAGCATCTGACCAGCAAGATCACTCATAGCTTAGCCATAAGCCAAACTAGTCTTGCCCCCATCTCTACTACAGCTGTCACAATCATGACACAATCACCCCTGCTCCAGTTTGAAGACAGTGAAGCTTCCTGCAGGCTCGGGAATTCACTGCACTTTAAAACCCAAAGAAAGGAAAACTGAGCAGTAACTCAAAAGGGTCTTACCCCAGATATAAGAAACACTTTACAGAAGTCCAAAACTGGTAAGATTTGTAAAAAGCTGGCAGCTTCTAAAGTGTCCTGAAGGTTGTCCATGTTGAGAGAAAGTTTTGCAGTATAAATAAAATCTATGATCTTCTTTAAACCTATTTTGTTCACACCATGGAGCTTAATGCACATTAAGTCTTGTTCTTTCATCCCACCTGAGAAGAAAAATTCAGAGAAAATGCAGTTAAGGCTTGAAAGCACTTCCTGGGTTTTTTTATTTTGGTTTTTTTAAAAAAACACTCTTGACCTAGGAACAAGGCTGCTTTATATATGAACTTGAAAACAATGGAGACTGCTGGATGACATGCTTTGAAGACACTTTCGCGGACCAGGCCTTTTAACACTCGAGTACCATTAACTGTACCTGTGAACATGGCTTTGAAGTAATCACTAGCCGATGCCATCATTGCCCTATGAACAGGAAACACTTCATCTCCATCGCCTGGCACAAGCGTCACATCGCACAGCAGACCTTCTATTCGAAGCTGGTCGAAACCCTACAAGAGGAGAGACTCTGTAAATGGGTTTGGCCATGCTGTCGCAGGATCAGGATCAAGGAACTGAAAAATTGGGGTGGTTCTGAGGTTTTTAAGCAGCCCCATATTTTTTTTTTAACTACAGCAATATGAAAGCGGGCCCCTGCTTCTTACTCCCCTATTGTCAACCCGTGTTGAATTTAACTACTGAAACAGTCGTTCTGAAGCCTTTCAACTAAGGAGATTGTAAAGGAGCAGCTTTGCTGTCTGAATATTCTGAACAGCTGACTTACTCTGAGGAAGACAGACTTTTCTCCTCACACAGAGACAGATATGTCCAAGGAGGCCTTTGGTTTGGTCACAAGACTCACCCCAAGTCATGTTAGGCATGGACTGAATCCATTTTCCACTGGCTGCACGTTCAGTATGAATCAAGGTTGATGAAAAGGCCCGGAAAGATTTTGGAATTTACTGAGCAGTTGTCCCCCCACTAAACCACCATACTCACTACGGACTGGAACGAAAAAAAACCAGGAAAAGACACCCTGACAAGATTTTGACAAACTTTATGGAACTGCCCCTTCTGTGACCTTGCCCCACAACTCAGTCCTAGAACTCTCACTAAGAATAATTCACTCAGGCAACATAAAACAGTACAATTTGAATTCACAATCTAGAAAAGGGGCCAGATGCCAGCTCCTTATCAGCTATTTATTTCTGCAACCAATAGTCAAAACTCAAAAAGGTACAGTTTAGTTACCCACAGGACTATCTTAAATTTAGTTGCCTCATTCTAAGTCAGTGGACTTAAGAGAGATGTAACTCTGTTTTGGATTGTGCTGAGAGTGTTATACACAGAAATATAAATGGAAAACTTAAAATACAAGAGATCAAGGATTATTGAACTCCCAGATAATTTTCTGCTGAAAGGCTGTGGTCACACGGAGCATTAGCCACGCTACAGAGACGGACGATAGGCAGATTTTCCGGGCGTGATCACACCGCAACATCTGGGAAGTGTAGAGCTCTTGTGGCTAACCCGAGGCTTCCCGCCGAAGATGCGGCGTAAAAAACTAGTACCTCCGAGGTACTAGTTTCCGGAAACCGTGGGGCAAGGGCGGGCGTCTGATCGCGTTTCCGGTGGTAGTTCGTGGCATCCAGCGCCTGCCCATGTCCCATTGCAAAAAGGTTTTTTCCCCCAAGTCTCCACGGGATACGCACACACACCCAACGGCGCATGCGCACACTTCGGTTAAAAAAACCCACAACCCTGTTTGTCATGGCAGCGGCGCTTAGCCATTGCTGCTGTGATCGTGCCGCACCGCAAGATTGTCGTGTGATCGGCACCTCCCCCCGAACCACGGGACGTCGGCAGGACATGTGATCCGGCGGCCGCGCGTTAGTTTGCTCCGGGGCAAACAGCCACGCTCCCCCCCCGCATTTTCCGGCCCATGCGACCGGGACCATAAATCTACAAACCATTTAAATCTTTTTTTAAAGAGAAAACTGCCTTAGAAGCTATAGAGAACATAAAAATTCAGAAATAACAATTCAGATATAAAAGAACTAAATATATCAATGAGGAAGAAAGGAGTTTACTAAAACAATGTGAGCTGCGTAGAGCTCAGGTTCACAAAGCAAGGAAGGCTTCACAAATAGCGGTGATGGTTAAGAAACAGCAAGGACTGGAAAGAAAGAGACGACAGAAAAATGGAAACCCACACTAATGACCTGAGAGGACACTAAAACCTCTTCTGAACTGTATTTTAATATTAATTAAATGTTTCATAACACAAGATTCTGAAACACTGTATTAGCTTTCCTCTAGTACTTTCAGGGATATTCTTTGTTGTTCAAGTGACATGACATAGCTTCTCATGCAGGCTACTTCCCCCCACAATTACAGCAAAACTTATTGCATGTGATGATGATACCCTACTAAAAAGACTGATGTTATCAATAAGAGTTAATACACAGTTTCCAGTTTTACTGGCAATCTTGAACGCTGTGATCTGTCAGGCTGGAGGCAAGGACCGTAGTTTTTCTTCCCTCGCAGAGAGTTCAAAACAGAAACAGAGATCATTGCTTGTGCTGTGTACACTAATCCCACTGTTGCCTCTGGCGAACAGGTATCGCAGGTTTTTGTACTGTGCAAGCATAATACTGATTACAGAGAAATGGTTTGTAAGTCCAGGCAATAAGAGCTTTCCTTTGTTACTACAACAGTGGTTAATAGTTTCGGCTTTTTAACCCTGCTAACAAGAGAGGGAGAACGGAAGGAAGAGGCCTGGGTTCAGCCCTAGGTCAGTGCGTATGTACCCTAAAAGGTTCTTTTCAAAGTTTTTTTGTTTAAATACTGGCTGGGAGACACATATCACTCATGGAGGTTCATGGCCATCTCTGTAACATTCCATTTCCACCAGTGTGCCAGCAGAGTGTATGAAGTTTCCAGAAAATAAAACAGAATGACTGTGTGGGCAAGGTGAGTGGACAATGAGAGAATAATGCAACCCAGCCAGGGTATGGAGCCTTGCCTTGCTCCACAGCCATTGCAAATGCAAGTCACAGATCAACATACTGCACAGTAGCAGCAGCAGATGGTTGCTATAACCATGCTCGCAGGATGGGTCTGGACTCCAGCACAGAATGCAGATAATGAAACTGAATTGCCCATCGAAACGTGCTCCAAGCCCAGGGAACAAAAGATAGGAACAGCAAAATATCAACACTGAAGAGAAAGCTTTGCTTGGCCAATTCCCTCGAAGGCATTCAGAAGAGTCTTGGGCAAATGTCTCTTTGCTTGTATAATGTCAAACACACACTGTGCGCTCCTTCAATTACAGGGAAAGGCCAGATTTCTTGGCACTGTTTCCAATATGATCTGAATGTTTAATTGGCAAAGAACCAACAACAACAACAAAATCCCTAAACTTCAGACGAGAAAATGGATAACCTTGAAAGGCTGAAGTCAAGATGGCCTGACATCCAATGGCACTATCAAATACAAAGAGTTAAAAGTCCCCTGGAGACATCTCAGAAAACCCCCTCCAAAATAAATGGAACTTTATGTTCACTTACCTGTAGTACCACTGAACTATGAGTATTGCTGGTGAAAAATCTCGTGGTCCCTGCCTTGGAAGACTGCAGATGGGCAGACACACCCATATCGCTGCTCCCAAGAGATACTTTCATGTGAGGGTCCTCCTCTTCAACCAGGGATCTAAAAATGCAAAAGCAACAGAAGACAGCCTTAAGCTTATATCTAACTTCTCCTACATGGGAATGGCAGTCACACAGAAATGTTTATTTTGTGGTCCAGCCAGATACTTGTTGAAGACTCTAAACCAGGGGAGTGGATCAGCTTCCTATCAGACTACCAAGCAATGTTTAACTGTGAAGCAGCAGTTTGGGGGTTTGATTTCAAGCTCTGCTGGGAGATGCTAGCCACTGAAGCTAGTAAGCATTGCTAAACCAAGTCCAACGTTCAACATCAGAGTAAACTTAAAAAGCACTCATTATGGAGCATATTTTGTGTGTCTGTGCAAAATACACCAAACAAACTCCGTCTCCAAACTAATACTGTTGTGCCAGTGTAGTGTGAGGATAAAGTGAGGGAGGGGGAAACCATGCAAGCTGCCCTGAGCTCCATGGAGGAAAAGTGGAATAAAATTGTGACAGTTTTGCCATAATTTCTTTATTGGCAAATATATTCTCCCACCAAGATTTCACCTTCCAAAGCATTTGCCTGCAGTTGGACAGAAAACCGTGGTGAGTTCCACAGGGAGTACACTCCTTGCCTTAAGCTACCTGACAAGTGACAGCTCCTCCAATGGAAAGCAGGCAGCTAGTGTGACCTTGTGTATGGCATCCTGAGTGTGCTTTATGATATTCATGCTCTTGTGTGGAAGCTATCTATTCTACTCACAATACTTCACATGTCAAACATGCTACTGCCAGTCTCAGCGACAAAAATCTTGATTGCAACATGCAAGTAAAACACATTGGCCTCAAATCAGTTTCAAAAATTACTTTAACAGAGTAACTGTCCCTTCCCCCACCCCAGCTAAAATGCACTCAAGTGAATGTTAAACTCCAAATTAGATTATACTTCCTTTATTTAAAATAATTTGCAGTCCTCCCACCAACAACTTTTGTGCAATTCCGATTTACAGACTAAGGCAGAAACATCTTTTAAAGAATTCTTGTGAATACACATTTGGGGCTGAGATGGTTCTTGCCTCCGGATAGGTAGACTGCATCCATTTAAAGCAATTTCTGAAACTGGAGAATTTTTTCTGTGATTAGTCAACCCCACATGGAGTTTGAATGGGGACCTGCCAATGCCATACGAAATATTTCAACAAATTGGACTAAACAGTGAACATGGGGTTAAGATGTGGGTGTGAATTACATGGAACACACAGCATAGAAATGCAAAAATATTCTCAATAATGTGACCACCAAGTCACAGGTATGTGGGAACATTTAAACAGTTGGGTGGCTCTTAGCATGCAACACTGTAAATTTGCAATTAGCCTGTTAGACATAACCTGGAGAAAATATCTCATGCCACATCTTAACTACGTAAAGTATTTGCAGAGTCCTAAAATCCAAGGATTTACTTCCCTTACTGTATTCTGTGCCAGAAAATAAAATTATTATTAAAGCTTGATTTTTAGGAAAGAAAAAGAGATAAAACAGCTGCTTTTAAAAAGTTGTGTATATTAGAAAATGTTTTCAAGTTTAAAAACAGCCCCCAGAGGCTCACCAAGATCAAAGGTCACCCTGTGTTGTTCCTAATACCAGCAGCAAGTAAAGGGAGTCAGACAGAAAACAGTATGCCTACTTCTAAGCTCACATATACAATATTGGAGCAGAGGGAGAAGATAAGGGAACAAAGCATCCTTTCTTGTGCCAAACTTAAAATGGTTGCAGCAAAACAGTATTACGTGTACCCTTTTACAGGACCACATCCTTTGGGGAAAAGATTAAGGCATTCCGCAATGACTTGACTATGAAGATAAAGTACATGTCTCAATTGTAGTTGAAGCAACTGGGGAAGCCAGATACAAAAAGGATACAAGGCTGTCTTAAGAAAAAGGCACACACCTTCCAGAACTACCACTATGTAGGAGAAGGGATCCAAGTCTAGCTCTATTCCTATGGTGTTTCAGTATATTCTTTTTGTGGCTTTAAAAGAGGGCTAGACAAATATCAATGCATATTAACCTATGGCTCAACGAACGCACAATGTTCAGGGGAATGCTTCCAGGGAAACTTTGGCTTGAGGGCTTGAGGGCTTTCCAGAGGCATCTGGTTTGCCACTGGATACTACACTAAACAGATCTTTGGTCTGATCCAGTAGGGTTCTTTGGCTTCTCAGAGCAAAATAATCAGCAGTAGAAAAGTTTCATTCGTGGAACAAGTACAGATTTTTTTAAAAATTCACTGCTAAAAGGTTGCTACAAATGCTTAATACCCAGGGCCGGCTCGAGGTTGGCCTGCGCTCTAGGCGAGCGCAGATTCCTAACTCCCGGCGGGGCCTGGAGACGCGCTCCGGCGGGGCCTGGAGATGCGGGCGGTGGGGGGGGGGTCTGGGCATCCCCAGAAGAAGGCATGGGGGAGCAGGGAAAAGGGCCACTCCTGCCCCCCGCCCCGGCCGGCCTCCCTCCACGGGCTGCTGCGGCTGCCACCGCTGCGCAGGGCTCCTGAGGTGCCATGCGGTGTGCGTGTGTGTGTGGGGGGTCTGGGCATCCCTGGGCCTCCTCCCCCGCCGCCGCCGGGCAGGAGAAGCCAAGGCAGAAGAAGAAGGCGAGCAATTGAGAGAGAGCGCTGGACTGGGAACGGGCCTGCACCCTGGAAAAGGAAGGCGAGCGGGACGCGAGAGGAGACTCATGCCTCAGCGGGGGCCCCACAGAGAAGTGCTCCTGTACGATGTGGATGCAAAACAGCGGCCATGGAGGGATCCGGATGCCTGATAATGATGAGGCCGCCCCGGCCGGCCTCCCTCCCCCGGCTGCGGGAGGCACACCTTGGGGGCTTCTGGAGGGGGCGGGGCCAGAGGCCAGAGCAACCAGCTGCGCCTCCTCCCCTCCCCTCTCTCCCCTTCCCCGCTGAGGGCTTGGGGTGCCTGGCGGCGGCAGTAGCAAGAAGGAAGAAAGCGCCACGCCCGGAAAAAAGGCCTGTCCCTCCCCCCAGCCAGGCAGGAGAGACCGAGAAGGGCGGCGGGGGCGGGAGGAAAGTGCCGTGCCCTGCCCACACCGCTGCCCGCCGCATCCTCCTGCAGCCGGGCGGCAGAGGTCCTCCAAGCCCCGCTCCTCCCGGCGCCCCTGCCTCTCCTCCCGCGCCCTTGCCCCTGGCTCGTGCTCTAGGCAAAGGTCTAGTTCGCCTAGCGGGCGAGCCGGCCCTGTTAATACCATATCTCCAAATGAAGATACCTTCATTGCTTGACCCGTTCAATCCTGATACAGGGACAATGATCTCCGTTGCCGCCTGGACCATCAGCAACTCTCAAATGAATGACAGATCCCCCCCCAAAAAAACAACCCCACAAGGGTCATAACGTTTATTTGCATAGGGGATGCTTTCTCCTTAGCTAGCTAATTAGTTTCTCTGGCTGCAAACCTAACCCTTTTCACACACATCCGGAAGGTCCATCTGATTCAGGCACACAGTTACAAAAGCCATTTTATTTGTATTCATTAACGCTGGCATGGCAAGCACTACAATTAATTAGAAAACAATGATTGTAAATATATTGACTGGTATTTCCTCGTAAGCATACTATATAACTACCAGGAGTTCTAGAAAAGAAGAAAATTAATTCATTTTCTAATTAATTTCATTGCTCCGATCAGTAGAGGTCATTAAATAAAAAGGTGAGGCAAATGCATTTTAATCAGCATAAATGTCAGTAAAAGGTTAGGACTTCCACAAAAGAACTACAATTGTGGAAGCCATCTTCAACAGGTGTAGAATCAGATCTCAATCTGTATGAACTCAATCTGCACTGAACTGAGAAAGGCATTCATACAAAGTCAGTGGCTTTTGGATCCAAAGCCCATCAGAGCCGTACCCAACAGGGGTCTGGTTTTACCTTCTTTGATAGCAGACCCCTCCATACCAGGTCAAACTGTTTTCTGAAACTCCCCTCTGGTTGAAAAGCATGCTGAGAAACTGATGTTCAAAGTCACAACCCCACACCAACCTTTATATGTCTGTGCTGCTAGTCCTTTCTTACCTAAAAAGGCCATCACACTGTTTTAGCATGGAAAACAGTAAATGGCCCCCAGCTTCTTAAAATACAGAGATCCCAATAAAGTGGTTAGTCATGGAAGTCCCATCTTTGTATAGCCCTGACTTTTTCCATCTTGTTCCTATGAAAAGCCTGACCACTGATACACCTCTTCCACTTTTACAATAAGCAGCAGCAGCAGCAGCAGCACAGTTCACGGCAACAGTATGCAATAAGGAGAACAAGAGCGCTCGATTAGCATCATTCAGCTTCTAGATGCGTTGCCCACAACTTGCTTTTCAGCCTGGAACAGGATAGGCCATAGAGCCTTGCTTACAAAGTGAATTACGTGGCTGGCCTAACCATATGGCTAAACTCCACAACAGTTGGGGGGGGGGGGGTGGAATTGCTAAGCCCCTGCCATGGTTAGGGTTTGTGAGGGAGGCGCCACTGCCTGCACTATTTGAGGAAGCGGTGTAGAGGCAATTTAGCAATCTGCTGGGGAGAGCTGACACCCCTTGTATCCGAAAGACTCAATTGAGGCTTGACGGAAATATGAGGCCGGCTGAGAAAAGGGCACACCTGTGGGACTTTGCACGGGTAAAAGCCCAGTTTAAACCAGACACAATGAGCGCAAGCAGCTATGCGGCAAAGAACTCACAGCTGCTTGGCAAGTGTAGGCAGCCTGGTTTAAACCAGACACTGAGTGCAAAATCCCACAGGTGAGCACTTTTCTCAGCCAGCATCACATTTCTATCAAGCCTCAGAGAGCCTTCTGATCTCTGCTGGCTACCTGGGGGCAGAGAGATACAATTCCAAAGGGGATGCAGGAAAGAAATGACAGACATTAAAAAAGGAAAATAAGCAGCATTTGACTCAGATGCTGTTGTCTTGATAAGTCCAGGGAAAATCATCTGAATCCACTTAAAGCAGCAAAAACAACAACAAAAACCGTTGTCTGGTCTCAAGTAATTTAATATCAAAAT